AAATAATGAAGTTAAAAGAGATTTGAAATAGTTTGGAAAATCCAAAAGTGCACGCCTCATGAGAGTTTTTATTTTTTTCATCAAAATTTAATTTCATTTGGTGAAATAAATAAATATAATTTAAACATTTATGAGTCTGATAACAACCAGCAATAGGGATCATCCTGAGGATAAATGAAAACTTATTCAGAAAGATTTATTTCTATTCTTTGCGTAATTTTTCTGAGACGTGAAGACAAAAAAGTGCACAGACTAACTGACAGCCGTACTATAATTTTTTAACTACATCTTTTGTAAATATAACTACACAAATGAATAAAAGTTTTCAAGACATCCCTTTTTTAATGATTTAGTTTCTAAATTGAGACATACTAACAATTTTATATTGCAAAATCGTTACATAGCGGATTGTCGAGAGTATAGCACAGCCACACGCTTGTGCGTTATGAGGCGTGCAACAATTTAGACATTTTTAAATGTAGGTTATTTTAAACGGAAGAATATGATTTAACTACATTCACATAGATAATAAAAGTGGAGAGTATAAAAGTGGGACGACAACAAATAGATGTGCGAATAGAACAGAAAATAAGATTAATTAAAAAAAATGTTGTTCTTAAAACTACAATTATAATGTTCATTTGCTTCTAAATTATTTCAATTAAAAGTTTTTTCACACAGAAAATGATTCATAGTCGATATAATAAATCGATATAATTCAATAATGACAAAAATTTACTTATCGCTATACTTTGTAATGATGATATGATCATATAAAATTATATTAGTAAGTATACTGAATGTTGAGTTTAATCATAATAAATTAGCGAATAAGATCCACATAACCTATAAAATTATATTGTGTATTTCAACATTTATTAAGTGTTTTACGTGACGTTTACAAATATATAACTATCGATTTCCACGCAACCAAAGATCAATTTAAATTATCAATTTCCTAACTTTTTAAATGAAACAGTAATTTTGATGACTACATTTTTTTTTATTACTCTACTAATCTAATGTATATGTTCTAGCTCGATGGTATGATCAGTCGGATAAACTGGTGGACTAGCCATTTAAATATACTCTGACATTTAATTCAATCCATAAGAATTGTTAGCAAATCATGTAAGGCCTGGTGCTCATTTGATCAACTTCTCTTATCTTGTTCAGGTGCAACGTGTCTACTTGTACCTTTATAGACCAGACCATAACGTATGAATAGCCGTATCGTGTTCAAATGTAAAACCGGCTTAACGTAAAATTTTACACAAAGAACCAATATTTAACTACCTGATTAAACGAAATTATCACAGTTTGCAAGGGTTTGGTGAATTAAGATGTATTTCTATTGGATTATTCTTAGGTAAACCTTAATTTTCTATTGTTGAACTTGCCACTTTGTAAAATAACATGTAAAATAAATAGTGACAGAAAAACAAACCAAATAATTTATAACCCACTTGGCATCTATATTCAGCCATATCCAAAAAGCTGACTATCGGTCAATCAAAATGTTAAATTGTGATTCGACTAAAAGACTAGGCGTGTGTGACTAACGGCCTAGCCACCAAATTAACAGACTGATTAAGTCATCGAACTGCTACGTTCATAGATCACGCGTAACAATAGGTCTTAATTACACTTTTTTGCTATCAAGGTAGTCTTAATTATTACAATATTTATAATACAACTCATTAAGTAGATAATTTATTTCTGATATTTCGGTTTTATGCAAATTAACTGTACTTATTACTATTGTTATTTATAAAGACGAAAATGCAAGAATTATAATATAATAATAATTAGAGACAACAGCATGGATATATTTATTTTTTTAATTTCAATAGATTTATTGCCTTATGAGAATCGGTACACTCTTATAGGTGAAAAAGTCGTTTGTGTGAAGAAATCTTTAAAGTAAATCGATATATCGCCAGAGGATGCCGTCTGCTCGGGACAACCGGCGCTAACATTTGCTAACTTCATAGCGTTTATGGATTTGGTGCAGATATTATGTAAAAATAATGAATTCGTTAAAAATCTTTTCCAGTTTTTTTTTATAATTTAAAAAAGTTAATAAACACTTTGTAATAGTTAAAATGTACGTTTAAGCTATGAAAACGAGCTGTCAAAGTACGTACATTGAGAATGTGTGCGTTTACTACAATCATCTTCTTTGGAGGAAGAGATAGTGCCACAAATTAGTTTGTTAATGACCCCAAATTATCTCGCGGGAAGAAATTTGTTAGCCCTAATTTTGACCAACGTGTAGACTTTATAATAAGACACGAGTTATATCTAGTATAGCGATCCGCCCCGGCTTCGCACGGTTGATTTCTGGATCTCGACAACAACGCCACCTACCAGATATAATTGTAAATCTAAATCATTCTCTAATCAACTCAATCACCAACAAAATTTCATTAAAATCGATCCACCCTTTTAGGAAAAGTTTAGTCACATAAACATCGACAGAAGAATGCATGCATTATATATATATATGAACCTTTGCCTTGAATCATTCTGTATATTGATGACGGATTTTGATGAAACCGCATCAAAATCCATTGCATAGTTTAAAAGATCTACGCGTAAAGACGGCGGGAAGCGACTTTGTTTTATACTATGTCAAGAAGACATATGTGTACTAATACATGAGTTAAGAAACTGTACAGAGGCAACACTTCTAAGCTGTCAAATTTTTTACCTATTTTGGTAGGGTTAGCACAGGAGGGTAAAATTAAATAAACAAAACGTTTATCAGCTTTTTAGTAGACACTTAAGATATAATATTTTTTTAAAAATTACGTTTTCTAAATGTTTTATATGTTTGATAATAAATAACATATCGAAATCGTATCCACAATTAGTATTTTGAGGTTTCCTTAAGATATTGGTTATGAACATCTTATTGAAGGCAATACTAACTTGACGACATGTTGGTTCCTGCCTGTTTGACTTTGCCAGAGAAATTTTCGAGACAATCTTGATTGAGACGTCTCGTAAATATAAATTAATTTAATTTCTTCTGATTTTAATTTTTCATGAAGTTTTATTAAAGATTTTAAAGACACAAGAAATCCGTGAATAAAATTAATGCTATTTGTAACGTCTTTCCGCCTATCACTTCTTGTTAATTTTAAGTTCCTAAAAAATGTTAGCAATTCTTCTATAGTACTCAAGTATATATATAGTATATACATATATAGTATATATAAGTGCCAAGGCAGCAAGTAAATAAAAATCTTTATAATCTATCTGACTTGGCTGCTTGGTGCGTCTGTTCTTTTGAACGAGTTGAGACAATTCATAGCTATGCCTGTATCCGATATTTGAGGGTGTCGTCAAGTTATTAACAAATTGTATATTGAACAAAACTATTTTTAAGGATTTTACCGTGTTCAATTTACTTATTTTTAAACTTAAAACTAATCCAATCATATCACTGCAAAACATCAATACACAGTAAGCTTAAGCGTAGATCGGACAAAAAGTAATATTAAAAAGCTGAAGGTACTCGGAACGTCAATCACCTCAGTCTCCCTCGTGATCATGGATGCTGCAAAGCACCCGAAAAAATAAGTAAATTAAATGCGACAAAATCCGTAAAAATAGTTTTATTCAAATTTATGGACCAAAATGACTCAAATTTACAATTTACGTTGGTTTAATGCAACCACAGAATTTGGGCGATGGGTGAGGCGGAGATATGGGCATGTCATAAATAAATTTTATATTAACTATCCAAAAAGTCCGGAGTGAATTCGAAGTGAAACACAGCGCGGCAAATAAGACACAGAACAATGTCTGCCAGGCCAGCTAGTAAAGTATCAATATTGTACTTGTTAAATTCGAATAGCGTTTGTGGCTTGTATCACCAGCAGATAACAAATAGGTTTTCGCCAATCTGTGCTGCTTATCTTAAGAGGATCGACACAATGTAAATGTATTGCATTCCAACAAAACATATATTGTGCTTCGGATAAGATATACAGCCCAACAGCAAGTTTCTAACTGGTAAAGACACTAGGAAGTTAGCAGATATCAGCACCGGCTATGTGTCACCATGAAGCAAATACAAAGAGGAGGTGTTGTAATTAGATTTCACTTTGTAACAACGCGTGACAATTTGCGGGGTAAGGGGATGTTAAGCCCCGCCCACTTTACACTATCTACATGTACCGATAAATAGTAAAACTACTCGAATCGTTCCATATCGATGTTGCAATGTAGTTTAGCTACCTTAACGATAGATGGCGGTCTGTTCACTAAATGATTATAAACTATAAAAATAATATTTTGGCGATTAAAATTATTTCTTTGTCTGAATGTAAAACAAATTTCAACATGTTCGTATGATTATTTAACCAATACTGAGCTCTACGTACCTTTATATTTTTAGTTCACATGACTCAAAGTGTCGCCATCTAGTGTCGAATATATTTAATTATATTTGAAAGCCGACGCAAACAGATTTTTCTAGAACTATTTTAATAAATTAGGTGTAAAATTACTTACAAATGAAATGTGATGACATCCATAGTATCAGAGCGTCTATTTGAGTAATTTTTACACGATAAAACACAACACTTCATTCTTTTCTTCTTAATACTACAAAAATACACATAATTAATTTCAACACATAAGCGAACAGGACTAATGCTGACAGTATACTAACTAAAGCCACGCCCACTGGGATGACACCAGGACCTACTTAGAATCACAGTGCACAGTTGCTTATATCGTCTTCTCTTTGTATTTGCTTCATAGATGTCACAGACAGCGGCCTCTGGCGACAGCACAAAAAAGAAAGACCCAGTGTTGCCTCGTGTCAAATATTCATATTCACGAACAGCTTCTTCACCGATTTGTGCTGTACCCTACATATGATGTATACATACTTACTTAATACGAATAAGTTTTACAAAAATTATAAGTTTTACAAGTGTAATCAAGACCTTTCTTTCTGATGGGGACATCCAGTTTGAAACAACTTACGTAACACCCAACGTCTGCCTGGCTTCATGCAGTACGTAGTCAGCCCGTTGCTCGGGCGTGGATCGGGCGCGCAGTCCTGGATGGAGTTTGCTCCACGGACACGGTTTCCATTTGAAATCAGTGTGTTCATTCACGTGCTGGAAAAAAAGTTACGTATTATAATATTTATAACAGAGAGAAACAAAGTAACGTGTGATAATTTCTTTGTTATAAATATATCTAATGTACAAGAATTTCATATTTGTGATTGCGCCAACGAAAATTCAACTCATTTTAAAAGACTTGAAGTCATATTGTGATCTGATTTAGCAGATTTTGTCCGTAGCTTACTTTACTTCAAATATTATATTTAAATACAAAGGGCCTTACTTAGCATTATACTGCACTATGCGCCACACTGCAGCCGCCGCAGCGACTGCACTTTACTACACTGTACTGCACCGTCCTGCAATGTACCGCACTTTACCGCACTGTACTGCACTGAACCGCACTGTTTCGCACTGTATCACACTGTACCGCACTGTACTGCACTGTACTGTACGCACCTACACTGCACTGTACTGCACTGTACTGTACGCACCTACCCTGCACTGTACTGCACTGTACTGTACGCACCTGCACGAAGCTCGCGTCGAGTGGCGGCGGCACGTCAGCGGGCAGCACGCGCGGCGCGGCGCCACGCTGCAGCCGCCGCAGCGACTGCACTGTACTGCACTGTACTGTACGCACCTACACTGCACTGTACTGCACTGTACTGTACGCACCTGCACGAAGCTCGCGTCGAGTGGCGGCGGCACGTCGGCGGGCAGCACGCGCGGCGCGGCGCCACACTGCAGCCGCCGCAGCGACTGCACTGTACTGCACTGTACTGTACGCACCTACACTGCACTGTACTGCACTGTACTGTACGCACCTGCACGAAGCTCGCGTCGAGTGGCGCCGGCACGTCGGCGGCCAGCACGCGCGGCGCGGCGCCACGCTGCAGCCGCCGCAGCGACTGCACTGTACTGCACTGTACTGTACGCACCTACACTGCACTGTACTGCACTGTACTGTACGCACCTGCACGAAGCTCGCGTCGAGTGGCGGCGGCACGTCGGCGGGCAGCACGCGCGGCACGGCGCCACGCTGCAGCCGCCGCAGCGACTGCACTGTACTGCACTGTACTGTACGCACCTACACTGCACTGTACTGCACTGTACTGTACGCACCTGCACGAAGCTCGCGTCGAGTGGCGGCGGCACGTCGGCGGGCAGCACGCGCGGCGCGGCGCCACGCTGCAGCCGCCGCAGCGACTGCACTGTACTGCACTGTACTGTACGCACCTACACTGCACTGTACTGCACTGTACTGTACGCACCTGCACGAAGCTCGCGTCGAGTGGCGGCGGCACGTCGGCGGGCAGCACGCGCGGCGCGGCGCCACGCTGCAGCCGCCGCAGCGACTGCACTGTACTGCACTGTACTGTACGCACCTACACTGCACTGTACTGCACTGTACTGTACGCACCTGCACGAAGCTCGCGTCGAGTGGCGGCGGCACGTCGGCGGCCAGCACGCGCGGCGCGGCACAACGCTGCAGCCGCCGCAGCGACTGCACTGTACTGCACTGTACTGTACGCACCTACACTGCACTGTACTGCACTGTACTGTACGCACCTGCACGAAGCTCGCGTCGAGTGGCGGCGGCACGTCGGCGGGCAGCACGCGCGGCGCGGCGCCACGCTGCAGCCGCCGCAGCGACTGCACTGTACTGCACTGTACTGTACGCACCTACACTGCACTGTACTGCACTGTACTGTACGCACCTGCACGAAGCTCGCGTCGAGTGGCGGCGGCACGTCGGCGGGCAGCACGCGCGGCGCGGCGCCACGCTGCAGCCGCCGCAGCGACTGCACTGTACTGCACTGTACTGTACGCACCTACACTGCACTGTACTGCACTGTACTGTACGCACCTGCACGAAGCTCGCGTCGAGTGGCGGCGGCACGTCGGCGGGCAGCACGCGCGGCGCGGCGCCACGCTGCAGCCGCCGCAGCGACTGCACTGTACTGCACTGTACTGTACGCACCTACACTGCACTGTACTGCACTGTACTGTACGCACCTGCACGAAGCTCGCGTCGAGTGGCGGCGGCACGTCGGCGGGCAGCACGCGCGGCGCGGCGCCACGCTGCAGCCGCCGCAGCGACTGCACTGTACTGCACTGTACTGTACGCACCTACACTGCACTGTACTGCACTGTACTGTACGCACCTGCACGAAGCTCGCGTCGAGTGGCGGCGGCACGTCGGCGGCACGTCGGCGGCACGTCGGCGGGCAGCACGCGCGGCGCGGCGCCACGCTGCAGCCGCCGCAGCGACTGCACTGTACTGCACTGTACTGTACGCACCTACACTGCACTGTACTGCACTGTACTGTACGCACCTGCACGAAGCTCGCGTCGAGTGGCGGCGGCACGTCGGCGGCACGTCGGCGGCACGTCGGCGGGCAGCACGCGCGGCGCGGCGCCACGCTGCAGCCGCCGCAGCGACTGCACTGTACTGCACTGTACTGTACGCACCTACACTGCACTGTACTGCACTGTACTGTACGCACCTGCACGAAGCTCGCGTCGAGTGGCGGCGGCACGTCGGCGGGCAGCACGCGCGGCGCGGCGCCACGCTGCAGCCGCCGCAGCGACTGCACTGTACTGCACTGTACTGTACGCACCTACACTGCACTGTACTGCACTGTACTGTACGCACCTGCACGAAGCTCGCGTCGAGTGGCGGCGGCACGTCGGCGGGCAGCACGCGCGGCGCGGCGCCACGCTGCAGCCGCCGCAGCGACTGCACTGTACTGCACTGTACTGTACGCACCTACACTGCACTGTACTGCACTGTACTGTACGCACCTGCACGAAGCTCGCGTCGAGTGGCGGCGGCACGTCGGCGGGCAGCACGCGCGGCGCGGCGCCACGCTGCAGCCGCCGCAGCGACTGCACTGTACTGCACTGTACTGTACGCACCTACACTGCACTGTACTGCACTGTACTGTACGCACCTGCACGAAGCTCGCGTCGAGTGGCGGCGGCACGTCGGCGGGCAGCACGCGCGGCGCGGCGCCACGCTGCAGCCGCCGCAGCGACTGCACTGTACTGCACTGTACTGTACGCACCTACACTGCACTGTACTGCACTGTACTGTACGCACCTGCACGAAGCTCGCGTCGAGTGGCGGCGGCACGTCGGCGGCACGTCGGCGGCACGTCGGCGGGCAGCACGCGCGGCGCGGCGCCACGCTGCAGCCGCCGCAGCGACTGCACTGTACTGCACTGTACTGTACGCACCTACACTGCACTGTACTGCACTGTACTGTACGCACCTGCACGAAGCTCGCGTCGAGTGGCGGCGGCACGTCGGCGGCACGTCGGCGGCACGTCGGCGGGCAGCACGCGCGGCGCGGCGCCACGCTGCAGCCGCCGCAGCGACTGCACTGTACTGCACTGTACTGTACGCACCTACACTGCACTGTACTGCACTGTACTGTACGCACCTGCACGAAGCTCGCGTCGAGTGGCGGCGGCACGTCGGCGGGCAGCACGCGCGGCGCGGCGCCACGCTGCAGCCGCCGCAGCGACTGCACTGTACTGCACTGTACTGTACGCACCTACACTGCACTGTACTGCACTGTACTGTACGCACCTGCACGAAGCTCGCGTCGAGTGGCGGCGGCACGTCGGCGGGCAGCACGCGCGGCGCGGCGCCACGCTGCAGCCGCCGCAGCGACTGCACTGTACTGCACTGTACTGTACGCACCTACACTGCACTGTACTGCACTGTACTGTACGCACCTGCACGAAGCTCGCGTCGAGTGGCGGCGGCACGTCGGCGGGCAGCACGCGCGGCGCGGCGCCACGCTGCAGCCGCCGCAGCGACTGCACTGTACTGCACTGTACTGTACGCACCTACACTGCACTGTACTGCACTGTACTGTACGCACCTGCACGAAGCTCGCGTCGAGTGGCGGCGGCACGTCGGCGGGCAGCACGCGCGGCGCGGCGCCACGCTGCAGCCGCCGCAGCGACTGCACTGTACTGCACTGTACTGTACGCACCTACACTGCACTGTACTGCACTGTACTGTACGCACCTGCACGAAGCTCGCGTCGAGTGGCGGCGGCACGTCGGCGGCACGTCGGCGGCACGTCGGCGGGCAGCACGCGCGGCGCGGCGCCACGCTGCAGCCGCCGCAGCGACTGCACTGTACTGCACTGTACTGTACGCACCTACACTGCACTGTACTGCACTGTACTGTACGCACCTGCACGAAGCTCGCGTCGAGTGGCGGCGGCACGTCGGCGGGCAGCACGCGCGGCGCGGCGCCACGCTGCAGCCGCCGCAGCGACTGCACTGTACTGCACTGTACTGTACGCACCTACACTGCACTGTACTGCACTGTACTGTACGCACCTGCACGAAGCTCGCGTCGAGTGGCGGCGGCACGTCGGCGGGCAGCACGCGCGGCGCGGCGCCACGCTGCAGCCGCCGCAGCGACTGCACTGTACTGCACTGTACTGTACGCACCTACACTGCACTGTACTGCACTGTACTGTACGCACCTGCACGAAGCTCGCGTCGAGTGGCGGCGGCACGTCGGCGGGCAGCACGCGCGGCGCGGCGCCATGCTGCAGCCGCCGCAGCGACTGCACTGTACTGCACTGTACTGTACGCACCTACACTGCACTGTACTGCACTGTACTGCACTGTACTGTACGCACCTGCACGAAGCTCGCGTCGAGTGGCGGCGGCACGTCGGCGGGCAGCACGCGCGGCGCGGCGCCACGCTGCAGCCGCCGCAGCGACTGCACTGTACTGCACTGTACTGTACGCACCTACACTGCACTGTACTGCACTGTACTGTACGCACCTGCACGAAGCTCGCGTCGAGTGGCGGCGGCACGTCGGCGGGCAGCACGCGCGGCGCGGCGCCACGCTGCAGCCGCCGCAGCGACTGCACTGTACTGCACTGTACTGTACGCACCTACACTGCACTGTACTGCACTGTACTGCACTGTACTGTACGCACCTGCACGAAGCTCGCGTCGAGTGGCGGCGGCACGTCGGCGGGCAGCACGCGCGGCGCGGCGCCACGCTGCAGCCGCCGCAGCGACTGCACTGTACTGCACTGTACTGTACGCACCTACACTGCACTGTACTGCACTGTACTGTACGCACCTGCACGAAGCTCGCGTCGAGTGGCGGCGGCACGTCGGCGGGCAGCACGCGCGGCGCGGCGCCACGCTGCAGCCGCCGCAGCGACTGCACTGTACTGCACTGTACTGTACGCACCTACACTGCACTGTACTGCACTGTACTGTACGCACCTGCACGAAGCTCGCGTCGAGTGGCGGCGGCACGTCGGCGGGCAGCACGCGCGGCGCGGCGCCACGCTGCAGCCGCCGCAGCGACTGCACTGTACTGCACTGTACTGTACGCACCTACACTGCACTGTACTGCACTGTACTGCACTGTACTGTACGCACCTGCACGAAGCTCGCGTCGAGTGGCGGCGGCACGTCGGCGGGCAGCACGCGCGGCGCGGCGCCACGCTGCAGCCGCCGCAGCGACTGCACTGTACTGCACTGTACTGTACGCACCTACACTGCACTGTACTGCACTGTACTGTACGCACCTGCACGAAGCTCGCGTCGAGTGGCGGCGGCACGTCGGCGGGCAGCACGCGCGGCGCGGCGCCACGCTGCAGCCGCCGCAGCGACTGCACTGTACTGCACTGTACTGTACGCACCTACACTCCACTGTACGGCACTGTACTGTACGCACCTGCACGAAGCTCGCGTCGAGTGGCGGCGGCACGTCGGCGGCCAGCACGCGCGGCGCGGCACAACGCTGCAGCCGCCGCAGCGACTGCACTGTACTGCACTGTACTGTACGCACCTACACTGCACTGTACTGCACTGTACTGTACGCACCTGCACGAAGCTCGCGTCGAGTGGCGGCGGCACGTCGGCGGGCAGCACGCGCGGCGCGGCGCCACGCTGCAGCCGCCGCAGCGACTGCACTGTACTGCACTGTACTGTACGCACCTACACTGCACTGTACTGCACTGTACTGTACGCACCTGCACGAAGCTCGCGTCGAGTGGCGGCGGCACGTCGGCGGGCAGCACGCGCGGCGCGGCGCCACGCTGCAGCCGCCGCAGCGACTGCACTGTACTGCACTGTACTGTACGCACCTACACTGCACTGTACTGCACTGTACTGTACGCACCTGCACGAAGCTCGCGTCGAGTGGCGGCGGCACGTCGGCGGGCAGCACGCGCGGCGCGGCGCCACGCTGCAGCCGCCGCAGCGACTGCACTGTACTGCACTGTACTGTACGCACCTACACTGCACTGTACTGCACTGTACTGTACGCACCTGCACGAAGCTCGCGTCGAGTGGCGGCGGCACGTCGGCGGGCAGCACGCGCGGCGCGGCGCCACGCTGCAGCCGCCGCAGCGACTGCACTGTACTGCACTGTACTGTACGCACCTACACTGCACTGTACTGCACTGTACTGTACGCACCTGCACGAAGCTCGCGTCGAGTGGCGGCGGCACGTCGGCGGCACGTCGGCGGGCAGCACGCGCGGCGCGGCGCCACGCTGCAGCCGCCGCAGCGACTGCACTGTACTGCACTGTACTGTACGCACCTACACTGCACTGTACTGCACTGTACTGTACGCACCTGCACGAAGCTCGCGTCGAGTGGCGGCGGCACGTCGGCGGGCAGCACGCGCGGCGCGGCGCCACGCTGCAGCCGCCGCAGCGACTGCACTGTACTGCACTGTACTGTACGCACCTACACTGCACTGTACTGCACTGTACTGTACGCACCTGCACGAAGCTCGCGTCGAGTGGCGGCGGCACGTCGGCGGGCAGCACGCGCGGCGCGGCGCCACGCTGCAGCCGCCGCAGCGACTGCACTGTACTGCACTGTACTGTACGCACCTACACTGCACTGTACTGCACTGTACTGCACTGTACTGTACGCACCTGCACGAAGCTCGCGTCGAGTGGCGGCGGCACGTCGGCGGGCAGCACGCGCGGCGCGGCGCCACGCTGCAGCCGCCGCAGCGACTGCACTGTACTGCACTGTACTGTACGCACCTACACTGCACTGTACTGCACTGTACTGCACTGTACTGTACGCACCTGCACGAAGCTCGCGTCGAGTGGCGGCGGCACGTCGGCGGGCAGCACGCGCGGCGCGGCGCCACGCTGCAGCCGCCGCAGCGACTGCACTGTACTGCACTGTACTGTACGCACCTACACTGCACTGTACTGCACTGTACTGTACGCACCTGCACGAAGCTCGCGTCGAGTGGCGGCGGCACGTCGGCGGCACGTCGGCGGCACGTCGGCGGGCAGCACGCGCGGCGCGGCGCCACGCTGCAGCCGCCGCAGCGACTGCACTGTACTGCACTGTACTGTACGCACCTACACTGCACTGTACTGCACTGTACTGTACGCACCTGCACGAAGCTCGCGTCGAGTGGCGGCGGCACGTCGGCGGGCAGCACGCGCGGCGCGGCGCCACGCTGCAGCCGCCGCAGCGACTGCACTGTACTGCACTGTACTGTACGCACCTACACTGCACTGTACTGCACTGTACTGTACGCACCTGCACGAAGCTCGCGTCGAGTGGCGGCGGCACGTCGGCGGGCAGCACGCGCGGCGCGGCGCCACGCTGCAGCCGCCGCAGCGACTGCACTGTACTGCACTGTACTGTACGCACCTACACTGCACTGTACTGCACTGTACTGTACGCACCTGCACGAAGCTCGCGTCGAGTGGCGGCGGCACGTCGGCGGGCAGCACGCGCGGCGCGGCGCCACGCTGCAGCCGCCGCAGCGACTGCACTGTACTGCACTGTACTGTACGCACCTACACTGCACTGTACTGCACTGTACTGCACTGTACTGTACGCACCTGCACGAAGCTCGCGTCGAGTGGCGGCGGCACGTCGGCGGGCAGCACGCGCGGCGCGGCGCCACGCTGCAGCCGCCGCAGCGACTGCACTGTACTGCACTGTACTGTACGCACCTACACTGCACTGTACTGCACTGTACTGTACGCACCTGCACGAAGCTCGCGTCGAGTGGCGGCGGCACGTCGGCGGGCAGCACGCGCGGCGCGGCGCCACGCTGCAGGCGCGCACCGCGCCGCCCGCCCGCGCCCGCCACCGCCGACACCTCCAGCCGCCGCAGCGACTTGCGCAGCCGCAGGAAACCCACCACGTCGTACTGCCACACCCAGTAACCTGCGCACGAACACACGTTTTTTTTTATAGGATCTACCCGACAAACGAGCACACAGTCCACCTGATGGTAAGTGGTTACTGTGACCCATAGACATCTACATCTATCCTCAATAAAGACTTAAGATGCAGATGCGTTGTCACCCGTGAGGACTAAGATGAAATGCCTCTTTGCCAGTAAAAAGGGTCTCCGGTTCTCTACACTCACCATACGAAACACAGCAGCGTTAAGCTGCTATTTTACGCTGGTTTTCTGTGAGAGCGTGGTCCTTCCCCGGTCGAGCCGACCCATTCGTGCTTCAACCATAATATAGCTGCATAATAATAATTGGTCTACTTAATAAATCATATTATATTCTATTCTATGGTGTATATGTGTAATGGTTATATTATTACCTGAATGTAAATATGCTTTTGGATAGGCCACCACATTCATTTAGTAATGAAAGTAATTGAAACAGTCATAATTATTTATTTATTCTTTATCTTGTGTGAAAAATTTGAAGATATTGCTTGACAAACAAGTTAAATCTAAATATAACAGTTACTAAATATAAAAAAATAAGTACAGAAAGTTCTTGCAAAATCTAAGAATATTATTGTCCAAATTTTGACGCAATGTTCATATTTACAGATGTTTAAAAAAACGGATAAGACTGAATAATTATAACGATTTCTTATATTTACGTGTTCACTACACATTTAAATGAAACTAGTTTTACGGATTTTATCGCGTATATTAACTTATTTTATATTCCCGACGTTTCGAGTACTATAATATTTAGAGAATCAGTAAAGAACTCTCATTAAACAAAAAAAAAAAACAATCATGCTTTAATAATAAAAAAACAATAGCGTTTCCACAAATGGAACGAACAATGACGACTTATTTTATTACGGCTTAATTTAAAAAATACTTTTACGATGATTTCTTGACAAAATATCAGTATTTACAATACAGTTATAACAATTAAATAATGTTAATATTAATACTTACCGAAAATATGAAATTCCATCCCTTTTCAACGTCCTGGATGTGTGATTTTCACACTTTTTAAACGAGTACTAAGGCATGTTTACCGTCGGAGCATTCGAATGCTACTAGATTAAAAGTACACCCATATGTTCGAAGGGTTGCACATTCGGTTATGCCATTTTTTGTCACTGATTGTGTATCTAGTTTTTTATTAGTGATCGATGTATTAAGAATATATTTTAATCAAATAAAAATAAACACTATAATTTTAGTTTTAAAACTAATCTAATGAGATGGATGAATTTGATGATTTTTAACAAGTTTGTTGATATCAGGTTCGATTTTACTCAAAAACAGTCGTAAGTCACCGCGTTCGGTAACATGCAAAGGATTTCTTTTTTTTAGTAAGCAACGTTATCACAGCGCTAAATCCACGTTCACACAAATATGACGATGGGAATGCTACAACTACTACTACTGCGGGATTGACTTTTGAAGCCAAAATTCTTGGTAGCAATTTTTGAATTTGATTTTTATTTCCTTGTTCGTTGTCATTTCTATAAGTTCTTCTTCCAGTTGGGATGATACTGCTATGTTAACATTTGAAAAAGGATCTAATACCCAGTCTGATATTTCTAACTTCAAAATGTCCTAGAATCTTTCAATGAAATCACTGTGGAGATTTACTAAATGTTGACAGTAGACAAGCAAGTCGTCGTTGTTGCAGGATACTGATAAATTAGGAAAATTATAGAACTCACGTCTGCTGATATTCTTCTTGTGTAAGAGCAGCTTGGCTACTACGGCTACGAAAGCAGCGACGACAGTTTTTGTTTTTCTTAAGTTTAAGTCATCGCCTTGAAGTTGGAGATTCATATCATTAAGCAATTTATAAAGGTCTGTGCGCGATGTGATGAGGTTGCCGTGCAATTCTGTGTCTTTGTTTTCCAAGAACTCTACGACAGAGTCAAACAGATTATAAAAAAGAGTCAGACTATGACGCAATGTACTGCAAGCAAATCTGAAATATTGTTTTTTAAGTACGCTATGAAGCCTCTTTAACACCCCGTCATAGCCGGAGCACCATCTGTAGCAGCTGATATAATATTCTTCAATGGAATTCCTTTTTCATCACATAACTTTTCCAGTGTTTTAAATATGGTTTCTCCTTTTGTGCCTGTCTCTAAATTTGTAGAAAATAATAGTTCTTGACATATTTTTTTTATCTCTAATAAACCTCACGTAACACAGCAACAATGCTTCATTAATTGGTAAAGTGGAATGGACTCTTCAATGTTTTCAGCCATTTCATCAATTCGTTTTTGCACAGTACTATTGTCCAAAGGAATTTTTCGAATTATGTCTGGCACCGGTTTATGGAGCACAGTAGTTATAACTTCTTTTAAAGCCGGCAAAATTAACGTTTCTCCGATAGTGTGTGGTTTACCTGATTGAACAATTAACAAAGAGATATTGTATGGAGCTCGAAGTAATCGTCTTGCTTAGCAGCCACCGAAAAAAGTTTTGATACACTTGGCTGAGCACTATGATTCTTTTCCAGGTCTTGAAAATAGGCTACAATTTTATTCTTCTTATCTGGATGCATTTTATTCAAATGATCTTGAAGTCTTGGAGGCTTCATCGCATCGTTTGAAAATGTTTTTGAACAAAGAAGGCACAAAGGCTAAGCTGGATTTGTCGAATTTTCTATGAATCCATATTTAATATATTCTGCACTATATTGTTGTCTCTTTTTTGCTTCCGACATGGGTTTGTTTTTACAAATATGTAAATAAAGTGTTGGACTTAAACACTTGTTTAAAGATTGCGCGCCAAAATTACTAATGAAAAACGCACCGACATGAATAAGACAAACAAGCACAAAATCGTTTATCTCTTTTGACGCTCAATCGTACTGAGCAAGTTAAGACGAGTATCGATGAACCAGCTGATTGCTACCGGATTGCACCAATAGCGTTATTTAACAAAATCTTGTTACAACTTGATTGCGTACGGCGTACGGGCTATCCTACGAAATATATGTAAAGTATTTCTAGTTTTATTTTTTTTGATTTCTCGTTAACTTTTTTTTGGATATTTGTCGAAACGACATGCCAATCCCAACATAATTTATAATAATTACGGCTAACACTAGAACAAAATAAGAAAGTATAATAATTGTGAGTACTAGTTAAATTACTAACCTAAAAAGAAACTTATAGTGAAGATGAGAAGATAATTATTCCGTCCCAAATGCAAGCCGGAATAACTCTCTTGACATCTGTGATTTGGGGTTAGATATAACCATTTGCACTAGATCGACGTCCAAAACATTTGCGTTAAATTCTTTCAAAACAGCCTGCCTATCTTTTTTGTTCTTGACACACTCCATCAACAAATGGTAAACATTTTCAATTTTGTTGTATACATCACAATTCGGTGACGGTCTTTTTTCCATTAAGAAAGCGAACTTTGCTGATGGCATCGTGTATGTGCTGTTTTCAAGAGTCATTACGTGTGGTAGAGCCATGCTGGAGCTATATTAGTAGTAAAGTTGTGGCACGAACGGGTCGGCTCGACCGGGGAAGGTCCACGCTCTCACAGAATAAAGCGTAAAATGGCAGCTTGACACTGCTGTGTTTCGTATGGTGAATGTAGAGAATCGGAGACCCATTTTACTGGAAGAGAGGTATTCCACATTGGTCCTCACGGGTGACGACCCATCTGCATTTTGATTCTTTATTGAGGATAAATGTAGATGTCTATGGGTCACAGCAACCACTAACCATCAGGTGGACTGTGTGCTCGTTTGTCATCCTATCCTATAAAAAAATCGTCTCTCACGCAGACTGGACGATTTTCAGACCAACAAGTTGGTTTCCGAAAAGGCTTTAACACCATAGACCATATAGGTATATCGTTATAATGATATTTTATTTGGTTAATTGCAATTTTTTTATTAAAACGGAAAATATTTGAAAAGAATTGCATACGCAAGTAGGTTCCTTAATTTTAAAGTAACATTTGTATAACTAGCGACGCGCACTGGCTTCACCTGGGTGGGTCTATTAGTGTGGCGTTATTTAGACCATTTATTTCATCTTATCAATATTTATATTATCTATACAAATAAATAAAATTAAAGTATCTGTTTGTAATATCAAAATTACAGTTTTTTACTAAATGCATATGAAAGTATATACGGTACTTACAACAAGAATACAATTTTTAAAATTTTTGTCTGTCCGTCTGTCTGTTTGTTTCGGCTAATCTCCGAAACGGCTGGATCGAATTTGACGTGACTTTCACTGAAAGGTAGCTAATGTTATATAGAAGTAATTCAGGCTACTTTTATTTTAGAAGTTCGTGAAATTTTTACAATTGGTTCAGCCATTCCGAAGATTAGCTCGCACTGACAGGCAAACAAACGAAAATTTTAAAAATGGTCTCAATGGCATGTAAATATTTTATAAAAATTATTAAAAAAAAAAAAGCACAAATATTAACAGCAATAATTATGAAGAAAACTCTCAGAACGCGTCTCACAAATTAGCGATTCTGGACTGGTTTTTTTTTGTACTTTGTGGCATGTTATTATTGATTCTAGTGACAAGTAGGACTGAAGTTATAGGACGATAGATAGCGATTAGCGACAGTGTGCGAGCAAGAGGTGAATAGAAGCGACTCTATTTATAATTCCATTGTTTAACCGCACGGGTAGTAACATTAATTGATAGAGATGCCATAATGCCTTCTTAGCGCCGTCTTGTTGGATCCACATGTCGTCGGTATTAATTTCATTCAGTTTAGGCCATAAAAAGTTGCTTATCATCGAGCTGTAGAGCTCACTGTTAAAGGTTATGGCAATCCTAATTTCGTTTTGGAATAAGTACAGAATCAGAATTTTTATTTGCGTAAGAACGCGGTATATAAAGGTGGTACATTAAAAAGTTGCACATGTCTCGCTATTACAAATAGCATGCAAAATTTGCATTATTATCTTTCAATTATAAACATAAAAATAATA